ATAGCCACTCTTGTTTCTTGAGGACCTATAATGCTGGCCCTAGAGGGTGCTGATCACAGCCTGTGGAAGCTCATGTTTGCTGTATGTCCTTGGCCCTTGACAAACCTTCACCCTGTTGTGGTGGATTCTGAAAACAGCAGCAATGACTACAGCCATGAGTGTTGGGCTTGGAGGTGGGTCCTGTGATCAGGGGCTGTTATAGGTAAGGCCTAAGGAACATTTAGGTATGGCAGTCTGGAGTCTCATCTCTCTAGCTCTCTGCCTTCCCAGATTACCATCACTGAGATATATCTCTTCCATTTCCTGAATTATCAACCTCTTAGTAGTTCTTTGGTGAAGAATTTTTCTCCAGTTATGTCTAGTTATTTCCCAAGCTGAACATTCTGGACAAGCCCTTGCCATCCTGCTACCTGCTTTGGGTAGCTCCTTCTTCCCCAGCCTGTCCAAGGGGAACACCATTCAGCTGGGCCCCTATGGCCTAGCCCTGTGGAAGCTGGGACAGAGTTGTTGTCTACACAAATCCAGGAGAGCCTTCTCCCAACCTGGAAGAAGCCCAGCAGAAAAGCCCCATAGCAGAGCATCAGGGAGTCCCCTCAAAAACTTGGGTATGCAGAAGAACATCAGGGGCAGGCAAAGCCTGTGCTTGGCAGCTCCTCCTGCCTGCCTTCTGCTAGGAATGGGCATCAAAGATGCCAGTATATACTTATTTACTTATGCCCATCTGGCACAGGAAGGATGTAAGGCAGCTCCTAAGGCCATGCAATGACCAGTCATAAAAAGCCTAGATCTAAGAAGAAGGAAGAAACAAAGGTGGGACATAAAATGCTACCCATGCAGGCCAGCCTGGTTATGGGCTTCTGGTGGCACTAACACCAAGGAGAAACCTGATGGGGAGGAAAAGGGCAAAGGAGGCAGAATTTCTCAGCCTAGAGAGATCCTCAGAGAGGAATCTTTTGTGCTGGGAGCCTGATCAGGTGGGCTTGGGGCTGCTTCTTGGTGATTTTTTCCTTGGCAGCCTAGGGACCAGATTCTAGAAACCTCTAACAACAGTCAGCCACCTCCTTGTGCAAGCATGAGGAAGAAATAGGGGTCAGGGTTGTAGATAGATAGGCAGTAGGGTCCCTGGCAGCAAGGGTGCTAAGGGTTCAGACCTATAGATAACTCTCCAGGTTAGGCCCTAAGGCCAGGCCCTGCTCAAGCAGTCCCTGGTCAAGGGTATCTACATAGCTAGAGGAGAAGGATAGTACCCATCATCACCCCACCTCCATTCTAGTACACAACCCAGTTTAGATTGGGCTGAGGCTCCCACACCTGGCAGGAGGCCCACAGCTTTCAACTTTGGGGCCAGGAAATTTTCGTCTGAGTAGGGTTTGGGGGTAGGCCTCCAGGAGCCAAGCCTGGTTTAGATCCCATCTGAATGGAGAATTAGTTCACACATGCTTCACAGGACTGGGCCTGTGGAGGAATATACTTGAGCTTTCATGGGTTCTGGTACTCAGGGCTAGGCTCCTGGTGGTGTTGTCCCGCTCCCCAGCATCTAGTGCCCAACGGCCATCTTTATGCACCCACTACTGCTGCTTCTTGCTTGATGGGTGGCGGATATCCCCAACCACATGTCTGGCAATGACTAGCCCACATTGTCTTCCCCTTGTACCCTCAGCAGGACCAAAGTTGGATTAACTAGACAAGTGGACTGGCAGATAAGCAGAGGTCAGGGCAAGGGAAGCCAACAGGTTTGGTCAGGCTTGGTAACAAGGGGCCCTGGTTGGAGGGGAAGTGGCTCCAGAGGCATATAAGGTAAAATCAGGGAGGCAGGAGCAAGTTCTACCCACAAGTCTAGTGCAGACACGAACACACCTCTCACATGGAGTGAGTCCCCTGACCAGGAGGGCCAGGGGAATCTGGAGTCTGAATAGGGTATAGAAGGCTCAGCAATATGGCCTTGTAGTACGAGGTCTCCTGCAATGGCACAGCCCACCTGGCCATTTCAGAGTGTCCCTTGTGTAGGTCCTGGGTGGCCTGAACTTCCAGGTAGCTCTGTACCCAGCAGGTGAGTGGTAGGTGGTAGCCTTGGGCCTCCCCTTGTAGACCTACCTTAGAGTGGGGAGTAATCTGGGGCCTAAGTACTGGTGGCACCTCCAGGCTTCTGCTTGGGCACTGAGGCTGGAGTAGCCACCTGGTGATGTGAGTCATGTATGTCAAGATACTATGGGACACACAAACACACAGACCTCAGGGACAAGCTCAAACCTGAAGTCAGGCACAGATACTCTGAGTTGCAGGCACTGCCAGATGCTGAGTTGCTCCTCACAGGAGCAACTCTGCTCACATGTGAGGGCCCCCATCCAGGAGGTCACTTCCAACAGCCAGAAAAGCAGAGCCAAAGCACATACCCTCCACTGGCACTGAATGAAACTGGGCATCCCAACGCTGTGGGATGCTCAGAGTGGATGCTCAGGGGGGCTTCAGTCTGAACATCTCAGCTGTTCCTTTTGATATGATGACTTCCTTCTACACCCTACTGTCAGCCCCAGGCCCCTTTGTCAGAGACTTCTCTGGACCCTGCCCTTTACTACTAGTACTTCATTCAGCCTCATAACCGCATGTCACCCTTCCTCTGTGTGCTTACCCTCAGAGAGCTTCAGAACAGTGTGCAAGGTAGGGGTGGCTGAAGGAGGAAAAGGGTGTGGTGTGGCAGAAGAGGATGGGTGATCCTGCCCCACTTCCCAGGGGAGGGTGAGGCAGAGATGGGCCAGCTTGGCCCTGAGCATGGTACCCCACCCCCATCGCCCGCTCCTCTCCCTCCCCTATCCTTGCGCAACCTGGAGCCACAAGTAGAAGTGTGCAAGACATCCCCAGGGTAATTGCAGGTTACATGGAACAATCTGAGGAATTAAAATCATATTTTCATTGCACCATAAAAACATGCAAAGGCAGCAAGGAGACAGCCCTGGGGCCAGGTGGAGAGCACCTGGCCTGTGGCACTCTGGCCCCTCCTTGTGTTTTCCTGGGTGGAAGGGAAGGGCAATCTCTGAGCAGGGGCTGGCCATGCCATGATCTTGGAGCTAGAGCAGTAGGGACACCCAGGACAGAAGCCATCACTGCATAGCATATCTGGCCTGCTTCTGACCCTGGCCCCACCTTGATGCAGGCACAGGAGCTCAGGGTGAGAGGCCCACTGGAGCTGCCATGTGTACACACTCATGTTGGGGTTTTCCTCTTATGGTCCTGATCCATAGCTGACTGTGTGGGGTTTTTGGGCTCATGCCTCACTAGAGCAATAGCATGCCTCCAAGGTTCCCTGAACCTGTTTCAGGGCAATGAACCCCATGGCCAAGCCAGCGTATACTGCTCCAGCATCCAGCCCTGAAGGTTGCCCTGGTGATTGTGGTCCCTAAGATCTTTGTGGAAGATTTTCTTCTGCAACACTAACTGTGAGATGGACCAGTCCCCTGCTCACCATTTCCCAGGAGTGCATAAGGCCCTGTGCAAAGGGAGTCAATGGACTTAAGACCATCTGGGATATGAGTTATAGACATTTTGATCCCTCCTAGGGGTTGGCACATGCCAGATGAACAGCACAATGAGAGGAGAAATTATAGGAGCAGATATGCTGATGCAAGATCTGTTTCTGGGGAAAAGGTGTGCAAGACCACCTGGAGGGACTATGGGGGACATGGATGTGTGTGGGCATTCTGACTGCCAGTGACAGGTACTCCTGGCTGACTGGGTGGGCAAGAAGGCAAAAGGCCCTCACCCCAGGGAGCTGCCTGGTATATGCTGAGGACCCCACATAGGCTGAATCTTTTCTGTTATCACAGAGAGTACCAACTGCAAGTTTCTTGTCTGCCCCAAAATAGAGGGTGCTGCTGCGGCAGAATAATGTCTGCCCTACCTGTCTGACCCCCAGAGGGGCCTCCCACAGACCCCCCCACAGGCCCCAGGTGTTAGCTGACCTCTTTGCCTCTGAGGCAGACAAAAAGCTCAGGCTAGAGGATTCTTCCCTGCAGGATCTGCTTCAGGGGTGTGCCACCAGCCGTGCGTTAAATGGGACACGGCTGATCTGGCTCTGCACTTGTCAGGAGGACCCAGCCCAGCCCAGCACTTGGCATCTTAATTGGGCGTCTGAGAGCTCCCGCACACGCTTCACACCGTGAGCCAGGCTCCCGTAGGCCCATTAAGGTACAAACACATTCCTTTGTTCACTGACAAGCAGGGTCCCATCCAGGGCTCCCAGGCCGGCAGACTAAGTGATGTTTTCTTAAGGAAGACATGAGATTAGCTGCCACTAAAGCCTCAGCACAATGCCGGGCCCTGCCCAGCGCTGTCAGCACTGTCTCTCTGCAATGTGACAGACAGGCGCTCCCTCAACCCATCAAGCCTCAATGTGCAGGATTAGCCAGAGTGCAGCCAACAAGCTGACTTGGAGGCCATGATGGAAATGTAATGAGGTGGCTGATGTTCAGGGACAGAAGTCTCAAACACTCCTGTCACTTGCCCCAACCCCTGCCCAGTATCTGCTTTGGGCTGTCCTCCTTGCTTTGAGGTACACAGAAAACTAAGGGGAACCTTGCAGAGAGTCCCCAGAGAGATCCCTATGAGAGGTCAGATAGCCAGGAGGCACAGGGGGGACTGTGTTCTTCCTGGGGGCCAGAAGGGTCAGCATCTGCCCTTCTCACCCACTGGCTACTGGGAACTTATATGCTCTGTACTCTGGATGGCCCCAGTTGATTGTGGGCTTCCCTTGCCAGCAGGTCCTAGAAACTACTCTCATTTGATGAAGGGAGCTGGTGGGCTGGCCAGGCCCTACCTTACCTGAGCAGTCCTGCATATATATCAGGGATATCATAGGCAAAACACACTTTAGGAAAACATCCTCTTTATTTACAATCCAGAAACGCCAGGGGGCTCGGACATGGGCCGCCCACAGAGTGGGTTTCTGCCCAGGCCGTCATCATTTGGCATTTAGGGGTCTGGGTTGGGCAGTGGCGCTAGCCCAGGTAGAAGAGGAGAAAGGGGCTGACTACCCCTGGAGCCATCCCTGCAGGGCACACCAGCCATCTGTGCAGATACACGCTGCTCCCATGCAAACAGAAGAGGGGAAGAGACTCATCCAATTCTCGCCTTCTAGTCCTGCCAACGACAGGTGGGAGTCAGCACAAGTCAACCCTCACATTTGTTTGGACACATCTCCCGCAGCTGCCCATGGGACCCTCAAAGGGTAGACTGGAGAGATGCTCCCCTCCCCCTACACCAGTGCTATAAAAATATTTTGAAATGATAAAATTTTTGTAGCAGGATCTTAACAAAACAGCTCTGTGAGGTATAATATTCTGATAAGAGTTTCCTCAAGATGCTTTGTTTGTCTGTATCAAAGGCATCCCTGGTTCTGGTAGGTTGTGGTGGAGCTAGATGTCAAAATGTCCAGGCAAGGCCCCTAGTCAGGATCTGCTGCCCACTGGACCCCTCAGCAGCTGATTAGACAATGAAGTCTGCCAAGAGTATCTCAAGGGGGAGCTTACTGTTCTGCCTACCAACTCTGCCTCTGCTCTGGAGGAAGAGGGGATCTAAAGAAAGGATTAGGAGGAGTCAACAGTCATAGGGGACACCCAGGGAGGGCTGGACTGTGTAGGCCCCAGGGTTTAACCCTGCTGGGGCTTGAAGAGTGTTATGTCAGACTGACAGGGGACAAAGCCCTGGCCATATGCATGCTTTCCTAGGGGCTAGGAACTCACTAATTTTTTTCCACTACAGAAGAAAACTGCAATGAACACTGCAATACCCCTGAGACTTCTGGCCATCCGTTTGGCCAGCCCAGCTTTGCAAAGCTGTAACAGAACCAGATGTGCAGGGCGGCAGCTGGCTATGTATGAGGCAGCATCTCCACCTTCTGGGCAAGAAGGAAAAGAGCTGGTGCTGGCACTCTGAAAAGACAGGAGCGGGTGGCCAGCTTCTTGCCAGCAGCCCACAAGGACCAGCAACTTGAGGTTGCCCAGGGGATACTATAGGTGTGAGCTTGTCCTTTCAAAACCTGAACATGGGGAACATTTAATGGCCAGGAAGGGCTCTCTGGGTATCTTTCAGAGAGTAAGGATACTTGGTGGCCTCCCCTCCAATCCATGCTTCTAGGCTACCAGGGCTTAACACAGGGAGCAGAGCACACTTGTTTCAGGTGGCATAGTAGGTGCAACCTCCACCTACCCGATGGCTCCCACAACTCTGAACCACGTGTTTACCCTCAAACCTGTTTACTTGGATCTGGGCTTTTTAGGAGCCTTGGCAGTGGGGAGCAGCATGTCGTGTACCCTTGGCCTTGCAGGGATGATGGCTTAACCTCAGCAGCCAGTCACAGTGGGGTCCAGGCCTGAGCGCTTGGAGATACGTAGCTTGACCACCTCCTCAGAACAGGTGGGGTGGATGCCTACTGTCCTCATCACCTGTGCATAGGAGGCCCCGCATCTGCATGCAAAGATTAGCAGAGATACGCAAGGAACCTGTCAGCACAGGGAGTCATATCTATGCCACTCTGATCCTAGGAAGGCTTTAGAAGTACCCCTGCCTTCTCCAGCCAGTGCCAGGACACCTGCCTGTGTCTATGTTGTACCTGACCACCTCCTTCCCAGAAAATGTCCAGTTTCCTCAGTGGCCAAGTGGCAATCCCTTCTGGCCCACCTCCCATCCAACCTCTGCTTGGCTTGTTATAGCCTGGCCTCCTGCTGCTGTAGTCCTACCAGGCATAGTCCCATCTGGTCCTTCCCGAGGACCTGCTCCCTCACTCTGTCAAGATATAGTTCAAGGGCTGGGATTGTGGCTCAGTGGTACAGCGCTTGCCTAGCATGCATGAGGCACTGGGTTTGATTCTTAGCACCACATAAAAGTATTGTGTCCATTCACAACTAAAAATATATTTAAAAAAAAAAAGATATGGTTCAAATTACCAATCAAAGTAAGCTCAAGCCCACTTCTTTTTTTGGTGGTGCTAGAAACTGAACCCAGAGTCTTGCATATGCAAGGCAAGTGCTCTAACCATTTAGCTACACTTTTTATTACTGTAGACTGCACCTGCCTGGCCTCCTGCTCAGCCCAGTTCTGCTCAGACTTCTCACATGCAGCGGCATAACGCCAGTGCTCTGAGCACCTGCTGCCCAAGGCAGGGAGCTGGCTGCTCTGTGGGTGGCTGTGCCCTGAGCCCCAGCATCCTGCCTGCATAGAGTGAGTATACAATGGAGCATGGGGGAGTCTGGTCTAGCTCAGCAACTAGCCCTATAAGAAACAGCCTTTGCTTCCTCTGGAACTTCTGAGACCTGGCCCTCATCCAGGATCCCAAGCCCACCTTCCAAAATTCTACAGATTAAGAGCTGAGGTGGGTATTCAAGGCATCTACTCATGTCCCTTGCATTACTTCACACACTCAATGTACACTGTTCATCTACTTGGGAAAACAGTATTATGGATGCCTCATAGGGCACAGATAGCTTCCGTTGTTTGTCATTAGACAAGGTTGCAATAGGCAGCTCTCCTTAAGATACACTTGTGTGTTGGAATATCTCTTGGGTAAATTCCTAACTCAAACAATAGGTGTGTGCATTACAGACAAGAAGTCAGTAGTAGGAAGGTCCACTCCATGTCTGAAATATCAGTCTTTGAGCTCTACTAGCTTGCTTCAGAGCATCAGTGTTTCTACCATGTAGACCCTGGAAAATGATGATTACAGGACAGTATTAAGCCCTTTATGCTTTATCAACCAAGATGGTTCAACAGTATTTGAATTACATTTTAATATTCCAAACTTTACATTTCTGGGCACAGTGGCCTTCTATTGTTTATTATTATTTTATTTCCTGTGAATTGCCTATTTATTTTCTGTATTTTTTCTTTTTGGGTTAACAGCTCTTTGCATATTAAGAAAATCAGCTCTGCTGGGCATGGTGGGGCACTCCTGTAATCCCAGCAGCTTGGGAGCAAATAGACATTTGGAACTGGACATTTTCTGGGAAGGAGGTGGTCAGGTACAACATAGACACATACATAGACACTTAGACCCTGGAATTCCCCAAACACATGGCATGATGGGGTTGGGATGTAACTCAGCAGTAGAGTGCTTGCTTAGTAAGCCTGAGCAACATAGCAAGGACCTTAGCAACTCAGTGAGACCCTGTCGCAAAATAAAAAATAAAAAGGAGTGGGATGTGGCTTAGTGGTTAAATGCTCCTTGGTTAAATTCTCTATATCAAAGAAAGAAAAAAGAAAAACAACTCTCTGCAGTTGCATTATAAAAAGAGGATGCCAAAATTTAAAGGACTTTTCCAGAAATTATTCCAGAAACCAAGTGTTGGTATTGGCATCAGCATTTGCATTCTAGAGCATGTGAATGGCAAAAGCCTTGTGGATGGACCAGATTGTAAGTGTAACTAAGAGCTAGTTTTAAGGGTAAGAGGACTGGTTATAGGGAAGGTCAGTGAGAAGGCTGGGGCAGGAAAGCAGGGCCGATATGTTGAAACGTTCCATGGGCAAGGTGGAAGATCTGGGCCAGATACTCTGGGCCCTGTCAGCCCCAGAAGTCTCCCAGGCTAGATCTAGTGCTGTGGACGGCCCCAGCTTACCATCACTTGCACAGTGTCAGTGAACCGGGCTCTAAGGGTCACTCTTCTTGCACCCCACAGGCTCTAGGAAAACTCTCAGCAAGGGAGGCTACATGAGGCTCATGAGTTCTATCCAAAGGTTACTAAGGACTGGACTTCCAAATGATAACTCTGCCACAGATGGCTCTGCAACTTAGGGAACACAGACACATGTTCCAAGGATATGAGCCCACTTCAGACCTAAACCTCCCTATTAGTTATTCTGTTATGCCCTGGGAGAACCTGATCCCTACAACTCAAGCCATTGCTCCAACATATGGGCTAGATGGGCTATGGTGGAGTCTAATGCTCTCAGCCCTGTGAAGGCCTAGACAGCCCACTGGGGAGAATGGGGGTTCCCCAGGGCATCTGGCCCAGACCCTCCATCTTGTCCATGGAACCTTTCAACATATTGGCTCTACTCTCCTGCCCCAGCCCTCATTGCCTTCCCTATACCCAGACCTCTAACCCTTAAGGCTGGCTTTTAGTTATACTCATGCCCCAGCATACTTTGGACCCCATCTGTCCACATACCCTTCTCTTTGTGTTAAATTGTTCTTGTGCCTCTAACCTCTGCTTTATGCACAGACAGCTCCACCCTGTCCAGCCCTTCTGCCTAAAAGATCCAGCAGAGAGGTGATCATGCTCTAGCCTCCAACTGTTACAGACAACCTACCCCACCCAGAGCCATTGCATGGCTCCTTAGACCCTGGAATCCCCAAAACACATGGCATGATGGGGTTGGGATGTAACTCAGCAGTACAATGCTTGCTTAGCACATGCAATACCCTGTGTTTGATCCCTAGCACTGAAAAACAAAAACAAAACAAAAATATAACACAGCTTTAGTCCAGGACATAGGCAAAAGCCCAAGCCCCAGAAAACACAAAACCACTCCATTGTGGCTCTTTCCTGGCTCACTTGAAACCAGGACCTTGCTCTCAACTACCTGAGGGCTCAGCTGGGGAAGTGAAGACCAATTCTGCTTGTTCTGACTGTGTAGAAAAGGCCTAAACAGTGACCCAGGGCCACAATGATCCCCAGGCAGCCAGCCACAGCAGACATGTAGCATGGCTCTGCCTGAACAGTGTTTGGCTAGAGAAGAAAGCTGCCTCTCACTGAACCTGCCATGTCTGAGGGGAACCTAAAGAATCCGTGTTGGAAACATGCGCAAGGCCACATGAAAGCAACATGAAACCCAGCAGGCTTTCCACTGTAGTGCTGCCAACACTAGGAGGGACACCCAGTCTGAGCAACGCATAACGGCCGAAATTCCTCCCGACTTACTTGATCCCCAGAGCAAATCCTTGAGTAACTTCACCAGCGTTGGGGCCGAGGAAGTGCAGGCCCAGCACCAGCTGTGGGGGCTCCCTCAGGCACACCATCTGAAAAACAGAGTATCTCAGTGGCAGCCAGGCCAAAGGAGGGACCCAACTATGTCCCACCTCTGGGGATACTAGTAACCCTCAGACATTCCAACTGTTTTGCTAGAGGGGCATCACAAATCTCACCCACCTCTGTTGCCAGCTCTTTCCCTCCTTTCCTCCAACCCCCTGCACACCTCAGCGCTGGACCCAAAAGACACTCACCTTTATGTAACACTGGGATGCATCCCGTTCAGCCACTGTGAACTCTAGTGGTTTATAATATGCGTGATAAACCTGGGTGACAAGATACCAGTTCCTGGAATTAGCAGCCACAGCAAAACCAGTCCTATGGGTATTTTTTTGGATCCAACAGGAAGGGTGCAAGGAGTAGATGTGTTCTCAGGGACCCAGAATTATTCACTTGGCTCAAAACTGTGATGTGGGGTGAGAACACAGCCTAGTCTGCTGCAGAGTGTGTTCACCTCTCCCATGCACAAGAAGCCAGTACCTGCAGCCAAGCAATCTGCAGGACAGACCCTCTCCTGCTCAGGCCCTAAACCCCTGTAACTATATGCAGCAGGACACTAGATTGCTCAGGTACTGCTCACCATGATGCATCATGAGCTTGGGCCAGGGCATTGGTGCACTCCCTTGGGAGCAAATGTTGGGTAGACACAGGTCCCCCATGACAATTTAAACTGGACAAGGTAACTGCAGCAGTGGCCAGTGTGGGGGTTGCCCATCCTGCCCACATAAGCAGGATTGGGCTAATGGTCCTCTGTTGGGCATTCTGTCCTTGGTTTGGCCTTGACTTCAGTGAGGAGGAGGGGCCTGACACAGGGTGGCCAAGGGCTAGGGCAGGCTACGGTCACACTGGAGCTGTCGAACAGAGGCTTTCAGCACCCATGAAGGGCCGACAGCACATTTGGGGCTGCAGCGAGTAAAAAATGAGCAGGGCCCTCACATGTGCTACACAGCCATTATTAATTAATAGAGCTTCAGAGAATATTGTTCTAAGTAAGACAGAACTGAAAAGAAAACAAACAAAGAGTATTTGGCCATTCAACATTGTGAAACATAAAATAACATTATAAAATGCCATGAACACATGTCCCAGTGTACTTATGATGAATCAAACAAAAATAGCAAATAAAGTGCTGCAGGGAAGGCTGGCCTGTCAGATGCTTCCTAGTGATGGAGGGGCCTGAGGTGCAGGGGAAGGGCCAGGCTCTGGAGTCCAGTGACTCATTCCTGAATGGCACAGACCTCCCTGCCCAGGCCACATGGGGTCTGGTTTCCCCTACCGCCTGCAAGCTGCTGTAGCAGGAAGATGAAACCACATGGAAGGCTTTCAGCTTCCACAGCCTGGCAAGTTTCAAAGCCTCCAACTTCCCTTCAGAGCACCTAGACATATTCTGTGGCCACCTTGGGGGCCATAGCCCACCTGCCAGGGCAGACCCCAAAAAGTAATCTTGCCCTATAAAAGCTCCTTTCTTTGGGATGAATGCTTGAGTCTGGGCCACTGAGGCCTGCAAGGATTTAAAAAGTCTGGGAAGAGGACTGGAAGCTTGGATTGGGGCAAAATGGGATCATGCCTGCTGGAGCTGCTGGGGGAATGCCCAGAGGTACAGGTAGGAGGGGACGGGGCAGCCTTAGGTAAGAGGACAGAGTAAAGGGGAACAGTGGTCAGAGAACACCCCAGAGGAGCTATTCCAGGTTGAGAGAGACCATGCCCCTGTGAGATGGTGAGAACCACAGAGGCATATGGGCCCTCAGGTCTTCTGTGACAAGTACTCTTCATGCTGGAATGGGGCTGGTACTTTGATGCCCTGAGACTCTAGCAGGGAGCTGCTGGTACCAAGGTGAGGACCCCTGATGTGTTGTAGCACAGCTGGGGATGAAAGCTACAGGCTGCTGGACCACTCAGCTTCAGAATGAGGCATCTTGGGGCCCTTCTGTAGTCACATGACATGCAGTAGCAGATGGCCACTGAGATCACAGAAGCTGAGGCTCAGCCCACACCAAAGCTGACAGAGGCCTCTGCCTTCCTTCATTTCTAGAGCTGCCTTCCAATGCTTCTGTCCTGTGTGTTCCCTCCATAGCCATTGTTCTGGATCCCCCTATCCTGCCCTGCCAAGCCACAGCTCACAGGAAGCAGAGACATAAATACCCCTGTTCACAGGACTTCCATCCAGGGAAGGACCATCTGTGGGGGTGAGAACCACAAATGTACCTCAATATGCTCTTGTCCATGGTGAGCCACAGCCTCCTCTTCTGACAACCCCACACAGCCATATTCCAATGGAGTGAAGACAGTAGTGGGAACCTAAAAAGCAGGTCTGGAGTCAGGTATGCCTCTAGACCCCCAAAATTGAAAGTCTCCACTGTGTAATTCAAATAGAAGTGATCACAGGCCAGGGCCCTAGCCACAGTGGCAGGCTGCAAGCACAGCAAGTGGATCCATTCACAGTTCCTGGGCTTCACTCTTGGACTAAACCATAAACATGTGCTCATATATGTGTACAAAACATTCACACTTGCATATGCACATATGTACCATGAAAGTGCAGGCATACAAGAGCACACACATACCCTACCCACTCCAGAAGATCCAGCCTTAGCCTTTTCCAGGCTGGACTTGGGTTTCTTTAAGAGAACTCACATTGTTATAATCCATCAGGTCTGAGGATTGTCCAAAGAGCCGCTGGGCCAGAAGCTTCCCTGCCATGATAGCTGTGGGTGTCAGCTCAGGCCGCCCCTGATAGAAGAAACTCAAGGTTATATCAGTACCACATTAGAGAGGGCACCACCCATCATATTCCTCATGGGCAGCTCCCTGATGAAACTCCACAGAATGGCAGTGAGTTGAGAGCTTTCTCCACTGGAGGTTGATTCTCCCATGGTGAGAAGGTGCAGGAATGCCAAGACCCTCATTGGTTTGCTTATTCTCTTAATGGCTTCCTTACACCCTCCTCTGGGGAGAAACCTGTGCTTATGACCCTCTTTCCAGGAACAGAAAATGAACTGCTAATGGGGTCAGTCAGTTCACTTTCACTCACTCAAGTCTTCTCTCTGAATCCCTTATTCATGTTAATGAACTCAAAGGTTTGTCCCCATGACAAACCTCAAAAGAGATCCTTGCTCCATTCCCATTAACTGAGATTTCAGCTAAAATGATCCTCAAGTAGCCCATATGCTCCTGATACACGCCTTGAAGTGCATGTCACAGCCCATGACAAATCTCAAATCAAAGTATCATACTGTAGGAGACCCCCCCCAACCCAGGGTATACTCCCTGCCTTGGGTTTTCCTGCATGTGTAGACCTGGAATCTGCTACCAGTCACTTCTGCAGCAGGAAATGCAGATGTTGTTTGGCATTCCAGAAATGAATAGAGATCTGCAGAGATAAACTCAGGAAAGCAGCTTGTGCATTCCACCAGGCCTGACTAACTGCGGAAACATCCACACACACAGCACACAATATCTCATTAAACAATATCCCCCTGCCCCCAATCCTCAGAGCTCTTCCCAGCTCTGGTCTAACACTGGGTGTTAACTCTTTGTACTGCTCAAAAATGACCTTTGAAGCTACAAAGAATGCTTTTGTATTTGTCATGTATTTCTGGCAATATAGTTCGAAGTGTTATCATTTCTATCACATTGTTATAGGCCTTGGAGACTTGGAACTGTGTTAGTGCAGATGAAGAAACTTCAACTGGTGGGTGCAAAAGAGGCGTCATAGGATGCACAGAGATGCACACAGTGTTATGCTGGTAAGAAAACAGTTTTTGTCTTAGGGTACAGCACTCACAGGATTCAACAGAAGCCTGCACACAGATCACCACATCCAAACTGTCTACAGGCAGAGAGGCCTAGCAACTGCATTGCCCAGCTAAGTGGGCTGGAGCCAGTTGACAAAAGAAGCCATTACTTTGATGGATTGTGTACAATCCAGCAGGGAAGGGGACAAACTCTGATAGCAAGCCCCACCAGAGCTGTCTCATAATCCTTTTCAACATGGGGAGCCTTAGAACATCTACCTGGCAGGGTGTGGGGGTTGCATCTGGCAGCAGTGGGCACCCAGTGTCCTCCAGTGCCCTACACATGTTTTCTTGAACTTGAGTCACAGGGGCTTGAGTGCTTGAGTAGCAGCAACTTGGCTCACATCTATGTATTAGCAATGGCTGGTAGGTGGTGCCTCTTGCACACTGGGGGCACGAAGGACTCTATTGCCCCAGCAGAAAGGATTAGTGTGGGTCCCAGTATTTGGCAGGAATGACTCATACCACATAAGCAGGCTGGTCCCTAGGAACAAGGGAAAGCCTCACCTTGTACAGCCCTCTACTCTGATCTGTTTCTACATGTATGCCAACCTTTTCCCTGGTGTGAGCCTTAGCAGAGTCCAACATGGAGGAATAGTCCTTCAGTATTGATGATAATGCCTACCTGTGCCCACTTAGCTCTGGGATATCCCACCCAGGGACTTGCTAGCCTTAGATACTGGCTCCCATTCCCTCCAAGCTCCTTGCTGGCATTTTCCAAAGTGGGTTCTAGGGTAATCCAGGGCAGGGTGGTGCCTGTACTCTCCTGAGAGCACTAGTATCCCCACCAAGCCTGCTGTGTTCCAGCACAGGGGTGGACACTCACTGGGCCCCCTCTCTTAACTCCTTCTAGGTCTCTCCTGATCCCTAGTACTAAGCATCTCTTGATGTCTGAAATAATTCACTTACTATCATCTATAACCTCTTCCAAGATGCACTTCCATGTGGGTGTAACGTTTGTTCCTGCAGTGTCCCTAGTACCCAGAAAAATGCCTGGTATGCAGTGGGCACTCAAGTGAATGCCCATCTGAGTGAATGTAAATTAATATATTTGGGTGGGTTGAATAGAGACTTCCCAAAATTCATGACTGCCTGCAACCTCAGAATGTGTTCTTACTTGGAAATAGGGTCTTTGCAGATATAATTAGGGTTGCAGTGGATTGGGATAGGCCATAAATCTGATGGGAAACATTTGTAAGAGACAAATAAGGGCACAAAAACACATGGAGGAGATGGGTACATACTGAAGTGATGTGGACAGGATTCAAGGAACTCACAGGGCCATCAGAAACAGGGGGAGACAGAAAAAAATCCTCCTCTAGAAGGTCCTGGAGAGTGCAGCCTGGCCTATACCTTCATTTCAAACTTCTGGACCCCAGAATGTGAGAGATGAATATCTGCTGTTTTAAGCCACTGAATTTGTGGTGATGTGTTTATAGCAGCCCCAGGACATGAACACACACATGGATGACATTAGCATATCTCACTGCAAAGAGGTGACAGGGCCTAGGAATGTAGGGAGCACCTCTCAGCTTGTTTGACTAGGGACGTCCTGAGGCACCTTCCCCCGAATGCATTAGAAACATGCAGGTCAGGCCAACTGTTCCTGAGGATGTGGGGAAACAGTGTCCCATGACTGATTTCTTTCAAGAAACCATGCAGGTTTCTTGGTGGGTGCCCATAAAAGAGAGGGTGACTAGATGCCTCCCAAGCTAGGAGGAGGGTCTAGGGACTTCAACCAGGGACTCACTAGGGAGGTGCTACAGTCCTTGCTTTCCAGGGGAGATAGTAAGACAGGGAAGTGACTGCAGCTACAGACCCAGTGGATAGAGGCAGACTCCAAAGCCTTTGTGTCTTCCTTGGACTGAACCTCCCACCAGGAAAAATCAAACTGGCCCCCATTTACAGTAACAGTAAGAAGCAGACACCCTGCTCCCATGTGATACCCTAATCAGGGAGCAAATTGAACCTGCCTGCAGATCAGAGGAAAAAATAAGGCAAGGTGGGCAGGACCAGGAAGGGCTGAACTAGGCCTGCCCTTCTACCCCTGTGGGAACAGGATGGCCCTAGGGCCTCCAACAATGTCATTTGTGAGATGTGGCTAGTTGAGATTACAGCCATTTTTTTAAGTTATCCCACACTAACTCTCCACGGGGGGTGGGGGGGGGGAAGCTTTCGAAAGAACTGAATCTAATGCCCAGTTCTTCCCAGAACACACCCTACCAACCCCTGAGGTTTGGTCCAGTGCCTCTGTAATTGAAGAAAGGAACATGGACAGCTGGGGGGTTCCTGGTCATAGGAGATGAACAGAGGGGCACAGGTCATACCTCAGCAACATCTCCAATGGCATAGATGTGGGGGACAGAGGTGATATCCTGGGCATCAACAATGATCTTTTGATTCTCAGGGTTTATATTCACTCCAACTTCCTTCAGATTCAGATTTCTGGTTTCTGGAATTCGACCTGAAGGAAAGACAGAGAAGGTTGAAAGATTTTCTTTAGAAGTTCTAACCTAGATTCCTTTTATTTCAAACATTTCTTGGAGCTGGACATGGTTATAGTGTACCTGAAGTTCCAGCTACTCAGGAGACAGAGGCAGAGGGATCACCTGAGCCAGGAGTTTGAGGTTAGCCTGGGCAACACAGTGAAACCCTGTCTCAAAACAAACACACAAACAAACAAAAAACGAGAAGGAGGAGGAGGAGGAGGCGAAGGAGACAGAGGAGAAAGAGGAGGAGGAGATAGAGGAGAAAGAGGAGGAGGAGATAGAGGAGATGGAGGAGAAGGAGATGGGGAGGGGAGAGTGGAGGAGGAACAAGAAAAAAAATTAAAACATTTCTCAGAATGATCTTAGAAATGGTCAAATGTGAAGTACAGATGGTCTCAAAGGGCTCTCGGCTTCTGTAGACAAGCAGCTTCACCATGGAAGAGGGGCAAGGGTGTCTGTTATGAACCTTTATCAAATGACACAACTAGTACATTGCTGCATACTGAAGAGAGAAGCCTTCTCAGTGGCTGCATTCTGGCATGTGGGGGAAAGAGCAGATGCTTACAAATACAAAGCTGCCCAATATCAGGGTGCTAGAAATAAGACTCCAGAATCTTCCATGGGCTTCAACCTAGCCTGCACCACCACCAGTACTAGCATGAATAGCTCTGATACTGTCTTCATCTTGAGAAACCAGCCCTTCCTTGGAAACACAGAGTAGTGCTGTTGGCACCTGGTCCTCTTGCTGGATCATCCTCCACACCACAGCTCACTGCCATTAGGTACCAGGAACATAGCCCCCATATTTTGAGAGTCCAGCTGGGCTTCCTTTGAGGGACACCAAATGGCTTTGATGGCCTCTTTCTCATCTGGACAGTCTGAGGCACAGTTGGACGTGTACTGGGTTATAGCCTCAGTTGACACTGTCTGGTCCCACCCAGGACCTTAAGGTCTCTCCCCTCCAAGGATGCATGCTCAGGGCCTCCTTCTCCACTAATGATGCCTTCTTCATTCCTTTGGTTGTTCCCCCCAACCCCCCATTGCTGGAGATCAAATCAAGGACCTTATGTGTGCTAGGCCAGTATTCTACTACTGAACTGTACCCCAGACCCTTTCCTTTGGTTGTAACATGAAGATGTTATATATTATTTTTTGTTTCTGACAGTGCAGAGGAGGTCTGGCTCCCACAACCCAGGGCAGAAAAACTTAGGCCTTAGAAGTAACCCTACATGGAACTGAGACCCTTAAACTGACATGCTGCAAAAGCTACATAGATAATGCTTTTTGAAGGTGGGCCCTGGGCCCCTGCTGGACTCTGCTTTGGACTACTACATGCTGGGAGATGACTGCCTGGGATTCCCTGTCCCTCCATGAACAAGAGACCCTGGACAAGCCTCTTTTCTCTATGAACGTCAGTGTTCTCATCTGTAAACAGTGCCAATGTGAGACCCAGACAAGATGAGGCATATGGCTCACATGGAGATTCCTTTTCCATCCTGCCTTAATAGTCACAGGGGAAGGCCATGAGACCATTGAAGAACCAGTTCTTCTGCCTGAACTTTAGCAGGGGGAGTCCCTATGCTGACATGAGTCAGGAGGGGCTACCTAGGTGATCTGAGGGGCCATGGGATAGAGTAGGGCAGGGACACAGCAAAGCAGTGAGTGTTCAGAGCATCCTTGTGAAGATGGAGGAAATGCATGTGCACATACATGTGCCTGTAAAACATACACACACATTTGCAAAAGAAATCAATGGAAGATTAAAAGCAGAATCTTACAGGAAGTGAGAGAAGAGGACAGAGGGACCGAGGTAGTCCAAACACATCTTGTGACATTTTGGTTTTCTTTTTTCTTGAATTCTACACAATTATATATTCAAAAAATAATATTACATTAACACAGGAAAAATTCTTAAAAACCATAAATAACCTAAAATGAATGAACCTAACTTCATATAAGGCTGGTAACAGAACACACAAGAAAAGCATTATAGTTGTACCTGTGAGAAACTGGTTCCAGGTCCCTCCACCAGGGATAGTAACACTCAAGTGCCTTTTACAAAATGGCACAGTGTTTGCGTATAATCTACCCACATCTTCCTGTAAACTTTAAATTATCTCTACATTATTGGTAATATCTAATACAATGTCAATGCTAGGTAAATAGTTGTTACACTGTATTGTTTAAGGAATAATGACAAGATAAAAAGTCTGTATATGTTCAATACAGTGCAGCAACACAGTACTTTCCATCCATAGTTGGTTGAATCCATAGACAAGGGTTGACTTTTTTTTTTTTTTTCCTATGCCAGGGATTGAACCTCAGGGTCCTTAACCACTGAACTACATCTCCAGTCTTTTTTTTTTTTTTTAATTGAGATAGGGTCTTACTAAGTTGCTTAGGGCCTCCCTAAGTTGCTGAAGCTGGTGTTGAACTTGCAATCCTCCTCCCTCAACTTCCCAAGTTGCTGGGATTACAGGTATGTGTTACTGTACCAGGCTCAACTATTGTTGAAAAGATGGAAGGAGCCCATGTTTCCTAATAATAAAGAAAGCTGCAAAATATCATCCAAAGAGGACAATTAAGACCCTGTAATTTCACATTTCAACTGTAAATAGTAATTTCTTTTCTTTTCCAAAATATGAAGTTCTGGGCTCTGGTCTAGCAGCAGAAATGATCAATAAGTGACTCTAGCCCTAGAATGGGATCTCTAAATGCCTCCCACCAAGATCAGGTTCTTCCTGGTCTAGACGGCTTGTAAATGGGGCAGAATATGATCAAAGACACTGCATAACAGAGAAGGCCAGGCAGCATGGAAAAGCAGCATACCCCAAGAGGAAGATACCCATCTTAGTGAGATTGAACCTAGGGTCCTTAACCACTGAACTACATCTATAAGTAGTGCTTATAGGAGTAGTTGCTCCATCCAAGTAGAATGTAAACCCTACAACTGTCTTGTATTTTGGGGTATGGGATATCTCAGTCTTGTGGAGCTCCAAGTGAGCTGACCACTTGGCAACTCTCCATATGACTCTTCCTGGGAGAAGCAATCTTCTCCCCACTCAATCAGCCCCCAGGACTCCCCTGAAGCATTTACCATCCCCCATTACTGAGCTCCTCGTACAGGCAAGCCCCTCACATCAGGATGGGTTCATATTCCTCTCTGCCAATATAAAAAGTGGGCAGTTTTCACCCATATGTCCCCATAATCCAACAGTATGGCCTGTAGTCAGTGTTGTATAAAGCGCAAGCCAACAAGAGCCAGCAGTGAGAATTTGTAAGTTCATGCTCCACCCAAACTCTCAGAGCAGGCCCACAACCTACTTATCAGGCAGACATCACAGGTGCTGAATAAGCAGGGCTTGCAGCCAGGTCTTCCAGCCACTCCACGTCCCAGGCCTCCACTAAGTCCTCTCCTACATGCCCCAAATGGCTGCCCAGCAAATAGCCCCAGTTTTGAGACCTCAGAGTTGGGAGGAGCTGGGCTTTGGGGCAATGTCTGAATCACATCACACCTATATTAAGGCACATTTGGAACCCACTGATCCTGCTTTCCAGGTGAAAAGTCAGGAGGGGTAGTGGCAGTCCCTGGTAGCATTGGCATGGCTGTCCTCTCCATACAGCTTTGGGCCTATAGGCAGAGAGGCAACATATGGATCTTATCATAGTTGAGCTGTCAGTGGAGGTTCCTTTAGCCCCCAATTCTGAGGAGTATGACCTGGTTGAGCCAGTGGGTGGTCCTCCAGGGCTAGGGTGCTCTTGGCTCCCAGTGGCTCAAGATTCCCTAATGACAAAGGTGATTTGCTATTAGAGGTATCATTTTATCAACTCTTGGAGTCTCAGACAAAACAGAGTTCAGCAGGCAGCAGCCGGGAATCGGGTGGCGCCCACCTGAACTTCTGGGAAGATAATGCCCCTATGAAAAGGAAACTTTAAGTCTCCAGCTGCCGCCCCACAGTGGGAAGTCAAAACACAGAGGCTCAGCTAAGCTGAATTGCTCAAGTTCATGGGAGGCCGGCTCCAGCCTCTTGGAGCTGCTAGGCCACAGGAATTGGATGCCAGTCAGGATCAGCCCAGACTCAGTGGTGAGAGACCACATCAGAGGAAGGAGCTGAGGTCACATGGGCAGGACTGGGGCATTCAGGAGACGAGGGTCCCTGCAATCTGGGGCTCAGAGCTCAATTGTTGGGTCCCTCCCCATGCTGGTCTGTCCAACTCAACAGCTGCTTCCTGGAGACAGTTGAACTTAGAGCAAAGCTAATAGCCCTGCTACAATGCTGGCCACCCCGTATCTACACAGTCCCGTGTACACCTGCCTGTATTCCTGGGGAGGTGAAGAATATCTCCTTATGCGCTTTGCAGTAACTAACAATTATGGACCTTACAGGTGCTGACGAAGCTCTGTGCCAATGTCCAGAGGAAATAAAGATACAGCCATGCAACACTTAATGACCAAGATATATTCTGAGAAATTTGTTGTTAGGTAAATTCATCAATGTGCAAACATCTAGAGTCTACTTAAACAAACCTAGGTGATATGGCCTATTACACACCTGGGCTTTATGATATATCTCATATATATATAGATATGTATATGCACACAGACATATGCCTATGTGTGTGCATACATATATACATGCATATGTGTCCCCATAATCCAACAGCATGTATATGTGTGTGCATACATAGAGATTATGTGTGTGCATGCACACATGGGAGATTGTGTATATAGCCTACTACTCCTAGACTACAAACCAGCACAGAATTTTACTCTCTGGGCATTGTACGCAGTTGTAACACAATGGAAAGTATTTGTGCATCTAAATAGATTTGTTTGCAACAGCAGCACCACAAACAAGCAAGTGTTGAACTACAGTTACACTAACTCTGAAGAGGTCATTATACCATAGAACGTTTTCAGTTCTATTATAAACCTTATGGTCATATATTTGGTCCATTGTTGATCAAAATGTTG